GGGTTTGCTGACATGTTCACTTGAAAGCTGCTCTTTCATCCCTTTTTGTGCGGTGGCAGATTTGTCATTAGATTTGGATGGATTATCAGGTTGTTTTAGTGAAACTGGTGTAGCTACTATGGCATTTAAAGATTCTTGAAGACTTTCAATCATTAACCTTTGCTCACTAATGACAGTAGATAGAGAGGAAATGTTCTTATTCAAATCAATAATCATTTTATCTTGATCCGAATTGTGTCGTATTAGTGTCTTAACTGTCTGTGGAATGTCCTTGCATAGCGGGCATATCCAAACCTTTGGGTTAGACGCAGATTTTATTTTTAGGCAAAGTCTATGGTAACGTTCTTGGCAGAGTGAGCATTCTAATGGTTTATCTTTGTCCAGGTTTCTAAGTTGACAATCCTGAATGCACTGTATCCTTGAGGCTGTTACATGAGCAGCTTGATCACTGTTTAGAAGATGGTATTTCTGGAGCTGAAACAGTAGATGTTGAGTCATGTGCAGAAGACATAATATGCCTATTGCTGGTCTGATTCATTTGCGTACATACATCTTTCCCCTATTCATTGACGTTAGGCTTATTTAATTTTGACCCAGTACTGGGTGTTGCGGGAGACTTTGCTATCATCTTGTTATTACTGTTCACAGCATGCATTTTTGACTTATCAGCTTGTATTGTGTAATCCGAAAAATTAACAATGGCCGAGACAAGCTTAGCTTCTCTTGAACAATAGATCTCCGATCTTTATATTTATATACCATTCCATTAGACCTACTATTGCTCTGTCATATCCAAATTTACTACAGCATATAATATTACTGATTATTTTAATAGCATTTATTGCTTTTATAAAGAGAGGTGAACTCATAGCAGTCGCAAACGTAATTTTCCCTACACGCATTTTAGGCTCATGTTTGTGTTTTGTTATCTATGTAAACAGTAGACACCTTCGGTTTGATCATATTTGAATAGAATCATGATAACAGCAGCAAACTTTACTAAACTTGTTTAAGCTCGATCACATGGTTCGTGGCCTATGCCAAGGGATCATCCATTTTGTCATTTTAGTGGCGGATTTAAGTCGAGGAGGCAGCCGG